AGATGAGCAGAAGGGGTGTGTGAATTCAGTCTGCAGTGATGGAGGAAAGGAGCTCTTCTGGAAGCTGCCAATACTGGGAAGGGTTAACAGGGCAGTCCCCGAGGACGGGCGTTGCACGCAGGGGCACACGTGCACTCCACGATTTAATTAACAGAGAAAACGCCGAACGTTGGAGAGGAATTGTTTTTCCCGAGCAGGACTATGTATTACCTACTTTAAGCACAGCCCTGTTCATGCATATGCAATGTTCTCCACAAACACCGCACGTGGTGCGGGAAACAATCCCGTAAATGAGGATGCGAAAGGAGGTCACTAATTCTCCCGGAATATCTCCGGGATGCAGGCGCGGCGGCCCCGCACGCGATCCGTGCCCACCGCGGGGTCCCGGCGCTGCCCGCCCGGCTGTGCCAGCGCCGCCCGCCCTGACCCACTTTCCCGCAGCATTTCTGCATAGCGACAGAGGTCCGAGCAGGACAAGTGTCACCTCCCAGCCCACGGGATTCTCCGTTCCCTACGGCTTCCACTGCAAGGATGTGCCCAGCATTTACACGCAGGCACACACGAGCACTCGGCACTGCACATAAATGTAAGTAAACACAGAAGTGCCAGGAAGAGAAGGAATTACAACAACAAAATCCCGTTCTTGTTTGCAGACTATTCCTCTGAAGTAGGCACAGGGCTATGACAGCGGCTACATGACTATCCATCTCATGGATCCTCCCTGGAAGAAGCCTGGCAGTTCCATTCTGGCCAAAGCTCTTTTAAAGGGACTTTGCTCATTTCTGGCTGGTCTGAGCACTCCTGTTGCCCCGAACCAATCCTGCCCTTTCCCTTCCACCAAAAGGAATCCTAATGCACTGAGCCACCCAGAAAATTACAATTCCTTCATTACTCCCAGCCAAAGCTCTGACACTATGAGGAAATGCATTTTCCCACTCCAAGCCCCTCACACCTCTCGTACTGTCCTATTTCCAACTCTCTCAGTCCCTATGGAATTACAGTGTATTGACTGCAGATGCACTGGCAGTTCTGATGTCATCTCAAGGCTTTTTCTTTTTTATTTTTTTTCCTAGGTGAAGCATGTATATTTCCTCTGTTCTGAAATTTTGTGCTGAAACTATAACAAGCCAAAAATCTCTTCAATGGGAAATTTCACAAGCAGAGGATTATGACTTCAGCTCCAGAATAAGCAGCAGGAGCAGATGGAACTCTTCAGAAACAATGATTCCATTTTCATGCAAATTTCCTTAGTAGTTAAAAAAAGACGAGGAAGAAAAAAAACCACCAAGATATCAGAATGGTTTCTAAATGGAAGGTTTTTGAATGATGCTAAAAGCAAAGGGCTGGTAGCTCTCCACAATCCCAAGCATTTTAGCAGCAGCCAGTGGAAAAAAAAACCATGACGAACTAAACCCAGACTCCATCCCCTCTCAGAGTCAGGATAAGGGAAAGGGAAAATGGAGTGAGAGTGTATTTTAGTTTTTATGATTTTCAACATCCTCGGTTTTGTGCTAATGCACACTTCAGAGCTAATTCTTATGCTCTTTAGGAGCACAGGCTTCATTCATGAAGCAGCATGACAAAAATTCTTTATCCACTTGATGACTACAGAAGGTGACAGGCACCGAGGCGCAGCAGCCACGGGGACCCTGTCGAGTGCTAACCTGCAGCGCTGCCCCTCGAGCACAGCGCTCCCCTGATTGCAGCAGCACACACATGCATTTTTCATAGCCCAAATGTGGAAACCCAGCCAATTCTTTTGTTATTAATACTGGCAGCATACCCTAAACAACAAATAATGCACAGAGTTAGCAGACCCCATTTCTGGCTCTTCTACTGACTTCTTACTCAGTTTTGGTCTTGTGCCTTCCTTTTGCCCTTGTGTTTACTCCTCAAGTGAGACAACTCAAGCTATTCCCTCGCTCCCAGAGTGGTGAGGACAACAGGCTTTGCACACCACGGAGTGGGACTGCCTCTGTGCCACACCACAGAACCAACCACTGTCCTGCTGTGCACACAGAACACACATTCATGGTAGGAACTGGAACTCTTCAGAAGGCCCAGGGAATTCTACTTTTACAGGCTGCTCCTTTAAACTGAGATTTTAAAGTCGAGAGGAAATGACATGCACAGAGGAGTGGGGATGCAACCAGCTGCTGTTTGTCCCTGCCTCCCCTGCACGTTGGACCAGGGGAATGCTGCAGCCAGGTCTCTCTCCTGTGCAGCATCCAGGTGCCAGCACAGAGCTGCTGCCACTGGGCAGCTCCGGCCCCAGCGACGGTTCCTTTGGATCACTCTCTCCAAATCCAACTGTCCTTCCTGGCACAGTCTTTCCCTGATGCTGCTCCTGATGTTTTGCAATGAGGTTTCATAATTGCCTATCAATTCTATCAAACAATTCTATCAAACAATTTCTATCTCACTCGGTTTCACATTGATTTTTTAAATTAGTTTTATCCTGCCTTTTCCATGCAAAAGCAATATAAAGTTGGTTTCAAATAAGGCTACAAAGAGTGTTACAGGCTTCTGAGCCATGTGTTCAATACCAAGAATACTTCTGTTTAATCCCATTCTACCTACACTTATCCCTTTCATCATGTCACTGGCCAAATCTTTTCACTTTGAATTTGCTCTCAAACTGAATCTCCTTCCTTCCTCATCTAGTTAGATGGATTTAAGCAATGACAGCTACTGAAAGGACAGAGCACAGACAAAATAACCTCAAAAATGGGCTCAACAAGCTCTTCCTTGCTTACTTCTGAGCAGAAGGATGTAAAGAAACAATTTCCTCGGTTAATCCTTCTTTGACCCAAATTAACTTTTTCCAAACTATTTTCTTAAATAATTTGTTTTACAGTCTTGCCTGAATAAACTCGGCAATAGACATGTCTCAGTTGCCCAAGGAAAGGAAGAGAACAGCAGCGGGGAGGGATAAAAAGATAATTTGGCTGGTCCAACCAGTGCAGTGCCGCACTGGTTAGGGTGGTGGAAGAGGGGAGGTTCAGATTAACACTCTGGATTTCTCTTTATTTCTCAATAAAGATGACATGGGGGAGAAGAAGACACATATCCTATCCTTTAAGCCCCCACATGTTCACGTGCTGGCCTTTGAGGTATGAAGAGAAACGAGACCCATCTGCCCCAGGTCTCGCCTGTCTGGGTCAGCACATTGAATCTGAGCAAACTCACTGGAAGGTTCTTCTTTCCTCCTCCCCCTGACTGCAGGACGAAAACTGCCAGAAAGACTCAAGAATAATTGGGAGAAGCACAAGGGAGCACCAGCATTGCCTCTCCTTTAGCTGCCTCAACAGACCTCCATTGTTTTTCCCTTTTGACTTGGGTAAATTTTATGCAGCAAAATCTAACACCAAGCTGGTGACAGTACTGTAAAATGTCTGAAGGGCTGAAAACTGGGTCGACCCCCACCTCCTGCCCCCAGCCCCATCACCACTGACAGGGTCCTGCAGGGCCCAGCTCTGGCTTGGAGGAGCAGCCGTGGCACAACGGCCGCAGTGCCCTTGCCTGGGGAACTTGTTCTCCACGGCTGCTCCAGCACTTCACTTCCCAATAGGAAATGATGTTTTCCACAGACTTAGTGAAACACGGTTCTAATTTAGTAATTGCAGTGTACATCCAACTGAACAGGACCTGGTGTTTGGAGAATGAGAGCAATAGAATTAGGACGAGCCTCAAAACACTCCAGCAACTCAGCCATTTGAAGATCACCTCTGATGTGGGGACAGAAAGAGGCACCTGGAGACTGGCATGTGGTTGTGTTTATACACTGTGCCAAAACACTGTTCCCTTTTCTAGACCCTAACGTTCCATACTGAGGACTTTTATATTATTTCTGCAAATATTAAAATGGGATCCGTAGCCATTCAGATGCCTTGTAAAGCCCATATTACCCTCAAACACCCTCTTAAGGTTTCATCTTTTATCTTTCATCAACAGGATCAGAGATGATGTGTGTTTTTGAGTCAGAAGCACATTCATAACCCAGCAAGCACCAGAACGTGTATTTTAACAGCAGCATCAACTACATTTCAGTAGAATCACTAAAATCCCCAAGTGACTTGAGAAGTGAAAGATAATCTTTGAAAGAGGAGGCAGAGGAAGCTGTCTGGGAACTGGAAAAGTTACCAGACTGGTCATTACGGGCAGAATGGACAGCAGATATGAGTTATCTCCTTCACACTCATGACAAGGAGGTGGGAACCTCTTCATCCCCATCAATAGCAGCTGCATGGCACTGATATAAGCCTGGGTCACTATTAAAGCAGCATGTCAAGCTTTTTTTTTTCTTTTTCTTTCCAAACTGCTTCCTTTTGGACGAGCTCCATGTAACTGTCATTTGCTTTCTCATTTCATTTTCATTTTCCATCTATGCATTCATCCAGCCCTTGAGGGGGAATTCTACAGAAATCCCTGTCAAGAACGCCCACAAGGGCCTTCTGACCCACCCCCTCACTGCTCTGCATCCCTGCCAGTGACATCACGGCACGTCCAAAAAACTCAACAAACCCAAGTTCATTTTGACCAGCAAAAGGGCAGAGACCGCTGGGACACTTTCCATTCCACCGTCACCTGTGGCTGCCCCAGTGTGTGTGCACTGTTCCAGGGCACTGGGGCTGCTGGGCCACCAAAGCAGAGGAACCCAGAACCACCAGTAACAGCTACTGAAAGCATTTAACAACAGCAAAACACATGTAGTGCTAAAAAGAACCTGCCCTATGGTGCAGGACTGTAGGTTGGAAGGGACCTCAGGAGCCACCCAGTCCAACCTCCCCTCCAAGGAGGGTGTCCACTGCTTTGATCTGCCCGTGTCAAAATGTTCTCAGAGAAGAAAGAAAGGTCAGTGACTGAAAACAATGAGAGAAAGGTGACTAAGAAACCTGGAAGAGATTGAGGTGAGAAAATAGAGCATGGACATTACTTCTCCACACTTCTCAGCCTCGGGTTCCCTCTGAAAACACTCGACAAAAGCAAAGTTAGTGTACCTCTGTGTGATTCTGGACACATCCCAGTGTCTTGTTTCACTGTTCCAGCATCGTTAGAGGATACAAACAAGTTCGTGGGAGCAGCTTTGAGCTTTGTCAGTCTCAAACCACCGAAACTAGCAAGGTAGTGGAGTTCATTCATCCTCAGGTGGCCTCATTGAGAACGTGCTTAAAGGCGTTTTATTTCTGTCCTGCCAAACAAACGGCAATGTGCTTCTTGCTGTGCTAGAAAGTGGAAGGGAAACAAAACCGTGTGGAAAATCCCCTCGATGTTACGTGTGGTTCAGGGCAGCTTTGCCCATGGGTTTGGGGGGGGGTGTCCCTCCAGCCGCCCCAGAGGGGATACCCGCGGGGTTTTCCAGCACCCCCGCGTTCCTCGAAGGCGCTGGAGCCGCTCTGTGACACATCTTAGGAGTCTTTAAGTGCGACCACGAAGCGGCCTCGCGCCGTTCCCGGCCTTGCCCGTAACCCAGTTTCCTGGTGGCCCGGAACGCCCGGGCATAACCCGGTCGGGGCTCGGGAGTCGGCGGAACCAGGCCCCGCCGCCGCCCGCCGGGCCGGCTGACAGCCCCGCGGCGGGGCCGCCGGGCGGGGCCGGGGCGGGGCCGGGCCCGTGGAGGGGCCGGGCGGGCACGCGGGGCCCCGCGCGGTGCGGGGGGCAGGTGTGGGGCTTTGGCCCCTCAGCCCGGCCCCTCGGCCCCGGCCCCGAACGGCCCCGGCCCCTCCGCCGGCCCCGAACGGCCCCGGCCCCGCGCCCGCCGGGGGGGCGGGACGGGCCCTCCGGGGCGCGCGCGCGGCCCAATCAGGAGCCGGCCCCGCGCCCGCGCGGCCAATGGGCGCGGCGGCGGCGCGCACGTGACCGGGCGCGCGGCCGCCCGTCAGCGGGCGCTATAAAGCGGGGCGGGGGCGCGGGCGCGGCGGCCGCGGGGGCTCGGCGGGTCCGGCCGCCTTCCCGCCCCGCCCGCACCGCGACGGGGCCGCCGCTCCGCCTCGGCAGCCGCCGGGCCGCCCGCAACTTGGGGGAGAGCCAGCCCAGCGCCGAGCCGTGCCCGGGAGCGCCCCGCCAGGTAAGGCGTTAATCCGAGTGCCGCCGGGCCGGGGGGAGCCGCCGGGGGGGCGGGGGTCGCGCTGCGCCCCGACCCGCCGCCGGGGCTTTTTTTTTATTATTTATATTTTATTCTTCCAGTCTCATTTCTGCACGTGCTCCTTTGTTCTCCAACAGAAGCGCTTTTTTTTTTTTTTTATGTGTACACAGATATATATGTTATATCCGCTAATGTAACGCAGCTGGAGCAGCCGCTCCCCGCCGGTACCGGGGGAGGGGGGAACGGGCAGCACCCCCCCTTTATTCCCTCCTCCCCCGGTGAAGAAGCAGAAACTCGAGCGATTCCGCGGCGCCGAAGTTGCTCGCGGGTGCGGGTCGGTAACCAGACACGCGTGTCGCCCGAGGGCTGGCGGGGAGGAACTGAGCCAGACGGGGACACAAAGGAGGGGGGCAGCCCCAGACACGCCGTCCCCGCCCCGCGGCGGCAGCGCCCGGCACCGCCGAGCCCCGGGCGGGGACGGCGAGAGGGAGACGAGCCCCCGGACCCCCTTTTGTCTGGCCCCGGTGGCACCTGCGGGGGCGAGCGCTCGGCCGCCCCGCCCGCGGACACTATCGCGACCGGCGACAGCTTAGCGACAGTTGTGGTGGTGGGAGAGGGCTGAGACAGCCCCGGTGTCGGGGGTCTCGTTCTGAGGCCGCGCGGGGCTTGATTCCATCAGCCTCACGTTAATTACCAAAACCACTGAAAATACAAAAAAACTGCAATAAAATGAGCCCCCACGTGCAGTATTCCTCCAATTCTTGCTCTGTCATACCCGATATTTTTCTTATCGTAACTTGTTCTAAAAGAAATTTAACACATTTGCTCTCAGACTGTCGGTAGTGATTAACTGTGACGCTTGCAATGGACTCTGTATACAACATCTAGAAGAAATCTAACGTCTTTGCCCCTCCAGACCATCTGCAGTGATTTACTGTGACGCTCACAATAGGCTCTGTATAAGATATCTAAAAGAAATTTGACTTATTTTCCCCCCAGACCCTCTGCAGTGATTAGCTGTGACACTTGGGCTCTGTGCACGATAAAAGGTGGTCAATGTACACTTAAAAATCTGGCATTGTCTAAGAAAATAATTTTCATAAACTTTTCCTATCGTTTTCTCAGCAAAAACAGCCCATTATGAAAGCTCTGAGTAGAATTCCTCCACAAGTTCGGAAAGTTGAGAAGGGGATGATTTACCCTCCTTGTTTTGTCCAGGAATGCAAGATAGCAGATTTTAAGAGTTAATAAGTATTAAAAGCCACGAGGAGCATTAAAAGTGTGTTTCCAAGCGGTGTGCTCCCCGCAGCCGCGGCGCAGAGCAGCCGGGCAGCGCCTGCAGCTCCACGCAGAGCAGAGGTTATTCACATGGCTGTTCGAGAAACTCCATTCATATCTCTGACTACCTGGATTTGAATAGAAACCAGACAGCAATTCTTTGGTCCCAGCCACTATTCGCCCCGCTGGACAATAGAGATTTGTTAGCACACAGGCACAAGCCCTGGGACACAAAGCTGGAGGCAGCAGAGATAGGGGCTTCACTGCACAGGAAATTACAGCTTTTGATGCACTGTTGGCAGGTCTGTCGGTTCAGAACAGCAACATGCCTGTGCCATGTTTAAGAGCTCCTGACTGCCATTTTTAACCACCTAGAATGTCATAAAAGCTTTATTGTCGCAGTACATAAAATCATGAAGTCCATATGGTTACTTTTCAGCTGCCCCGGGTCTGGAAGGCAGAAGTATGATCTGGCTGGAGAATTTAATTTGGGGAGTGTGGGGAGGGGGAAATTAAAAGAATTTGAGGACTAGAAAACCTCAAAGTGTTTATAAAAGCAGAGATTTGTTACCGAGGCAGCTGATGTCTAGCTTGAGATGGGGTGGTGTTCTAATAGATTTGTTTTAGTGGTGGCTGTAAGAGGATGAGGCTGGACAGCTGATTTCATCCTAAAAGGTTCAGTAAATTTACTCCATGCAGCTCCAGCACCAGCTGTGGAGGAGGACATCGCTCAGTTGTGTCAACTTGGCAAACACCAAAATAAATAAGAAAACCCAAAGCGCTCAGTGTCTGGTACCTCCCATTTCCCCTGCTTTCCCCCCAGTCTGGAGTTAAAATGAGAACTGCTCGGAGACTGGGCTTTAATCCGCTGATTGGAGCCAATGAGCAGAAATTATTGAGATTAGAAACCCAACCAGCGGGTTTTATTAGCTGAGAAGCCAACCCCTCGCTGTGCGCGGCGCCGTGGCCGGGGCAATCCTCACCCAAGGAGCAGGAGGCTTGGGGCTGGTCCTCCTCATTTTTTTTGTATTTTTCCATAAATCGTCCCTCCTCTACCACCTTAGTGCCACATAAAACACCTGGACCCATGGGATTTTAAGACTCTTAGAATTCTCCCAGGCACACAGTGTCAGGGTGTCTCTAGGTGGGAGCGTTGCTGTGACCGCAGTGGGAATGGGATGACTTGGCTCTTCTTCACCCGGGAAAAACAATGAAAGTGAGAGTTGTATATTGCATTTGGGAAATGTGTGTGTTTGTTATGAGCAGCAGAGATACAAAGCATCATAGAATACAGAAACAAACGCTGGGCTGTTTGCGTCCATATTAAGCACGTTTTATCAATGCAATCGTGAGCTCGGGAAAAGGGGAAGAATTTTAAAGTGAGGAAGGTCCATTTTCCAGGGTGTTTGGGAGACACCTGGGAAGAGCGGTGCTGATGCTCTGCACCAGCCCTTGAGACAGATGATGGACTTGCTTCCACTGCTCCTTTGAGCAATGTAGGACAAAAAAAGGCTGGATGACTAAACCAACACACTGTTAAAAAAGGTGCTACTTGTATGATTAACAAACACCCGCTCATGTGAGGGGCTAGCTCATAGAATTTTCAGCTGCTATATCAGAACATTAGAAATACAAATATGAATGTAAATACTTTTCACGGGAGTCAGTTTTGTCTGAGCAATTATATAATTTCCTTGAATTCTCCTCCTGATGGAGTACAATGGCTTGGGTGTATTACTTCTCAGTAAAACTTAGGTGATAAGAATCGGGCTAGATTACAATCAAGCTATTTTGATTTTACTTTCTTGCTGGTACTGACAAACCCACAAGGACCTAGCTAAAATAAGCCTTTGGACAAAAATATTATTATTTTAAATAAATGTAAGGATATTGATGGCTTTATCTACAAAGCACTTTTAGATGAAATTCCACGGTATTCTTAAAATACAGCAACTTTTCTGTTACCTGTAAGACTGCTAATTCACCTAGACGCTGATTTTAAAACCTACCCCTTGAAAATGCTGCCTAAAAAAAAATGCGCTGAAAAGTTAAATTCTGTCCTTGCAATTGCATTGTAAGAGTTTGAGTACCTGTTAAGGAGATAGTTTTGAATGGAAACCAGAACATTATAGGTTGGCAAAAAGAACTGCCTAATCAAAACAGTCACAAGAGGAATGTCTGGGCATAACCTGCCCCTGACAACATCCACAGACTCAGCCTGGACACGGGAATAATCCCATCAGGCACATAAGAAAAGGATGTTGATGGCTCTTCTTATGTGGTCAGGGTTTATTTAAACTGCACATAGAAATAACAGATAATTCCAAAGTCAGTTTTCTCAACTCCAGTTATGGCTGTTCCAAGGGAAAGCTTAAAAAGCCTGGACCACTAACAGCCTTGGAAGTTGCAGTGTATAATCCCGCCAGTAAAATACAGTATTGCATTACAGGCTTGGTTGCCAATAAAAATGTGTCAGGTATGCTGAGATCTCACAATAGACTTGGCAATTTAACAAAAAATGTGGAATCCTAAGAATTTCATTTTATCTTAATAATAGCCAGCAGATGCTGTAATCGTTTCAAACCCACAGCATTGATTAATGGCACTCAACAGTTTCAAATGTTAAGAACTCAAAAGACAACAATTGGGTGTTTTGATGTTAAGGGTAACATGGAAGCATGTGTTTCCCTAAGAAGCACCATGGACATACAGACTGGTGACATCACCTTTTCAAACAGACTTCAGTCATTCCTGCTCTCCCTGTTCTGCCTGAGAGTAGCTCAAACCATCTGCAGCTGCCCTGAGCTGTAACACAAAGAAATGAACCCAACTGCCAGGAATGACTGGGTAAAACTGCACATTTCCATGTGCCGACTGCTGCATCTCAACCCCAAGACCCCTCCTGCATGAGCTGTTAATTGTGCCACCTAAATACACACGTGCGTGAATGAATATTGCAGGGAGCCTGGGATGGGAATTCTGCCACCCGTAGCAGGTCCCTTTCCACCATTCCTACTTTGGGATCCTACCCAGTTTGGGTTACTCAGACCTGTGGTTAACCCGTGTTTCCCTCGGAAAGGCCAGACAGTCTGGGCTGCGATGCCAAGCTGTGATTAAGGGCAGGGGAACGCGGCGGGCGGGCTGGACGGGCACGCGGAGCGGGAACGTGCCCGCCCAGGGCGCTGCCCTCGGCTCACACGAGGCTGCTCTGCAGCACAGCTCCAGCTGCTCTGGCACACGGGTGACAGGGGCCGTGTGCTCTGGTGTGGCTCCAGCCCAGGCACGGTGAGCCCCGTGGTGACACAGCCACTGCCTGTCCAGTACAGGCACATTGAAACCGAACGGGGCCAGCAAGCCATAGGTTATCCATGTTATCCATCCCAAACATTCCAGCAATACGGGGACTGATTCTTAACTTGCTAACCTAAATCAGTTTATAGTTTTCTTGAAAAACACCTTGTCATATGAGTGTTCGAGGCTTTCCTACTTCTTTTCTTTTAGGCTTTGACCATAATTATTTTAGCACAAGAGTGCCTGTCCCTCTCCTCTGGTGTGCCATCCGCAGTGCCTCTGTAAATAACGCTGCACCTCGAGCCTGGTGTCATGACCAAAAAGGATCCATCTGGGCTATGAGCAGAGGTGGTCAGGGTTTCACCACACTCTGCAATTCCCAGTCTCCCATATTTACATTTCCAGCTGCACGCACGCAGTGCCCCGGAGTGGCAGCAGCTCCATTTACATAACCAGAGCTGGGTACCCGGGGGCTCGTGCTGAGCTGAGCCCCCCAGTCCGGGCAGGGAGAGCTCCCACCTCACCAGAGAACGCTGGACCTGCACAGGAGAGGCTGGGGGGAGTCCAACAGGGCGTTACAGAGTGTGGGTATGCGGGGACATAAAACCCTCCCCTGGAACTGGGCATAATGAATGGCTCTTGGTAGTCAGATTTATTTCTTTAGGTGGAGCCTCAAATTCAGATTTTTAAGATGATCAACACGTTTGCAGACAAGGTTCACCTTAAAAAGATTCCTAGTTATAAAACAGAATGCGTTCAAGTTTGCCATATATTTTTTTTCTGCTAAAGATTTAAATATCATGTGGCTTTAGCTTTCTTTCTGTTCACTGAATATCAAGGTCAATTAGGAATGATGTCTGGCTAGTACTCTCAGAGCAGATTAGACAGTTGCATCAAAAACTAGGACCATGTATAGGTCATCTGTTACTGTGACCTAGATTTCTGAGAATCTGTTCAATTTGTTTTATTGAAAATGTGGTCCTCTCTCAGTTCTGTTTCTCATAGCAAACCTCTCTGTAATAGCAAAAAATAGCTTTATTAGATACTTACAGACATTGCTTACTACTTCTGCTAAGACACAAAGAAAATCAAATCCATGCAGCAGACCTGTGCCTGTCATCCATTTAATTTTAAAATAACTTAAGGTTCTGAAAGGCTTATGCCTTATAATCTAAAGCATTTGGTCCACATGCCAAATACTAAGCAATCTGAAATACATAATAGCTTAGCTGCAGCTTTGTTTGCCCTATTTAATTCATTTTTTACCCTCAGTAACCAGTGGGTAGATGCAATATTTCCACAGTCTACTTTGGAAAAGAAGAACATACAGAAATATTTGAGTGAGCCTGTTTTGTTTGTATCTGTGTGAGCTTTGTGGTGCCCAGGGAGGAGAGCTGGTGTGGATTGCCCAGATCCAGACGTCCCTCCCAGACCCACCTGTTTACTGAGGATAAGGATGGTGCCATCTGAATCCTGACACTTTACAGCACATCCACCTATGC